AAATATCAACATTAACGAGAATTTGGAAGAAGTTGATTCCAACCCTCAGGGATGACTTTAAGGGGTTTAAGACTTCAGTGGAAGAAGTAACTGCAGATGTAGCAGAAACAGCAAGAGAACTAGAATTAGAAGCGGAGCCTGAAGAAGTGACTGAATTGCTGCAATCTCATGATAAAACTTTGATGGATGAGAAGTTGCTTCTTATAGATGAGCAAATAAAGTGGCTTCTTAAGATGGAATCTACTCCTGGTGAAGATGCAGCTAACACTGCTGAAATGACAACAAAGGATTTAGAATATTCCATAAACTTAGTCGATAAGGCAGTGGCAGGGATTGAGAGGACTGACTCTAATTTTGAAAGAAGTTCTGCCCGTGGGTAAAATGCTATCAAACAGCATAGCATGCTACAGAGAAATCTTTCATGAAACAATCAATCCGAGTGGCAAATTTCACTGTTGTCTTATTTTAAGAAATTGCCACAGCCACCCTAACCTTCAGCAAACACCACCCTTTTCAGTCAGCAGCCATCAACACCAACACAAGACCTTCCACCAGCAAAAAGATTACAACTTGCTGAAGGCTTAGGTGATTGTTAGCATCTTTTATCAATAAAGTATTTTTAAATTAGGGTATGTACTTTTTTTAGACATTATGTCATTGCACACTTAATAGACTATAGTAGAGTATAAACATAACTTCTATATGCACTGGGAAACCAGAAAATTTGAGTGACTTTTGCTTTACTGCAGTGGTCTGGAACCAAACCTGCAATATCTCCAAGGCATGCCTATAGTTACAAATAATACAGAATGTGTTGTGCCAGTCAGGAATAGGTGAAAGGCCTTTTATAAACCACATTCTCTCTATATAAACTAGTGTAGTTCCTGGTTTTATTGGAAGTGCTATAAGGGAAAAACAAGTTAAAAGCATCCCTGTAGGCTCTTCATTTAATATATTTCTTGAACACCTACTATAGTATAAACCAGACTCTTTGCTGCTGGTGGGGGTACGAAGATGTGTAAGGTGGTCCTGCCCATAGGGAGCTTAAAGATCAGTAAGGATCTCAGTCTTCAATTTCTGACTTACTCTGACTGCCTGGCTGAAACCTAAGATGGAAAGTCAGGGAACTTTTAGTTTTCACCTGAGGCAGAAAGAGGTAGAGTCACACCATCAGAACACCACAACTGCTGTACCTAAAAAATAGCTATTTCAAAGTTTACTGGTCCTCAACCCCCAACAATATCAATAGATTCAGAGTTTCCATACGAGCTTCCATCTTTGACGACGAAAAATTAGAATTTTATAATGTAAACACAAAAGACTTGGGATACTTACGTTTTGCCCATAATTTGACTGCTCTTAGGGTGAGTCTAAAAGTTTCTTTATTTGGCACTAAATGTAAAATTTCATCAGTAACTCTACAACCTGAAAAAGACAGAGCATGCATTTTTCACTATGCAACAAAACTCAGTTAATTCAAATGCCCTCCCAATTCTAGACTCTCAAATGTTAAAATTGTGAAAGATTATAAATATCAGGGTTTATTTTCTCTATGTATTTTGAAATTTAGCACTTACATAAGAGAAATCACTTTGCTTTAAAAAAATTAAACAGTACGTGGGTAATGCAATCCAATATTAAAATAGAGATGGGCCTGAGTATTTTTTTTAGTTTCTTTCCATGTTTGACTTTATTAATCAAACACCTCCAAGTTATAAAATTGTTATTACTGTGATGCAAACCTTTTCTACAAATACTGTGATTTATTGTTACACTCTGGAAATAGAGCAAAGTGCAATGATTAAGTTAAACAAAAGACACTGTAAACCAGTGGTTATCAAAGTATGGTCTATGCACCCCTAGGAATCTGTGAGGTCAAACCTATTTTCATAATGATACTATGGCTTTCTTTGTCTTTTTCACCATGTTAACATTTGCACTGATGGTAGAAAAGCAATGGTGGATAAAACTGCTGGTATCTTGGCAATGAATCAAGATAGCGACGACAAACCATACTAGCAGACAATGTATCTTCACTGCCACAAACTTACAGTTAAAAAAAGGGAAAAGAACATTTAAGATTGTTTGAGTTCTAAGCTGAATTACCTGCTTTTTTCAAGGAACACCAGTTTTACTTGAAAGAATGATTGACATATAAATAAATTATAGTTATTCACAGTTAGCTCTTTCCTAAAAAATGAACAAAGTGAGCTCCTTACTTCAAGGAAAACGAATGATGAAATTTGTTGCCAATAATACAATTTAACCTTTCAAGTTAAATTACAATTTTGGACAACTTGTATCTGCTACCGTGAACTTTCCAATACTTAAAAGACTTTTCTAGGCTGGGCATGGCGGCTCATTACAATCCTAGCACTTTGGGAGGCCAAGGCAGGAGGATTGCTTGAACCCAGGAGTCTGAGACCAGCCTGGCAACACAGCAAGCCCCCGTCTCTATAAAATACTAAAAAAATTAGCTGGGTGTGGGGGTGCATGCCTGTAATCCCAGCTAGAGGTGGGAGAATTTCTTGAGTCCAGATGTTTGAGGTTGCCTTGAGTATGATCACACCACTGCACTCTACTTGGGGCAACAAAGCAAGACGCTATCTCCAAATAAATACATAAAAATAAAATAAAAGACTTTTCTGATGACATTAGTAGTGATATTAATGAATGCTAATTTTTTAATATTTTATAATGAAATGTGTGTCAACATTTGGAAAATCCAAATAACCTTGTGACCCAAAATTTTCCAAATGACCATGGCATGACTGTATAACATGCACGGGTAAAAGAACCATTCAAAGAACAAGACAGACCAATGGATTTTCATGTAACAGAGTAAAAAAAAGTTTGATATGGTTTTAGATTCCATACTCGAACCTTTAAGAAACTATCAATCACATTCAGCAATAAAACAGAACAAACTACGAACATGGATGAACTTCACAAACATTACATTAAATGAAAGCCAGAACACAAAAGACCACATATTATATGATTCCATTTACATGAAAAGTCTAAAAAAGGCAAATCTATAGAATAAACAAATCTATAGAGAAAGTAAATTAGTAGTTGGCTGGGACTGGGAGTCAGAAGGGGAAATGACTGCAAATGGGTATGAGGGATCTTTTGAGGTGATGTAATGTCCTAAAATTAGACTGTAAGTGTACAATTCTGTGAACATACTACAGACTAGTGAATTGTACACCTGAAAAGGATGAATTTTATGGTATGTAATAATACCCCAATAACGCTGTTAAAAAAGAAACTGTGGTCACCAGTAAAGTTTGGGTGTAGAATTGAAGAAGAATATCCATGATTATCTGAAAAGGCTACTAAAACACTCCTCCCTTTTCCAACTACATATCTCTAGGAGGCCAGATTTTCTTCCTGTATGTTAACCAAAACAAAATATTACAATAGATTGTAGAAGCAAATATGAGAATCTAACTATCTTCTATTAGGTAGAATACTACAGAGATTTGCAAAAATCTCTTTAAAAAAAAAGGCATTCTTCACACATAAAAGCTTATATTAACTTATAATGGGATTACTGTTACTTCTAAATGAATATGTAAAAATTCAAAAAAATTTTTATGTCTATAATGGTAAATACTGACAGACAACCCACAGAAACAAAAGCTCTTTGGGGTCCTCAATAAATCTTAAAAGTATAAACGGGTCCTGCAATCAGTAAGTTTGAGAACCACTACTATAAACACAAACAACTTCCAAAAAAACTTGTGTTTTTTAGGATAATTGAATGTGATGTTATTTATATAAAGAAAATTATATCCTTTTAAAATGAGTTAGTCTAATCCCTAAAAAAGTCCACTGATAGTCAATTCTGCAAAAAGATCTCTTTTTTAGTCTAACTGTTTTCAAGCAGGTATCTGAGATTTCTTCTTAGAAGCTTACCATTTAAGCTGCGAATACATCTTATGTCAAGGCTTCTCAGGCGAGAGTCGTCCCTCAGATCTAAATTATCTGATATGGTCTGTATTGCCAATCTTGCAAAGACTAGATCAATCTTTGGAAAGATACAAAAAAAGAAAAATATTACTTTTTCTTCTTCTAGTTCATCCTCCCCCATCCCACCTAAAAATGTAAAAAATTCTAATTATTAGTTTGGGAAGTTCTACCAAAACTTCAAAAGGCCTATATAGCAATTTCACATGGGAAAACCATTGTAAAGTTTTGTTAAGGTAATTGAAATCTCAAATTAAGGAAAGTATTTTAATTTTAGCATATATGTCAAGCATTTAAAAAAAAACCATCAAAACTTTGTGAGCGGATTTCTAAATAAAGATGGAAGATCCAATACACATTTACATTCACTTCCTCTTGAAACCTCACTAAAATAACAGAAAAATTTCATTTTGTTTCTTGTTGAGTTTTATTTTGATTTTCAAGGCAAAACCTACTAGGACAAAGAGAACAAAAAGAGACAACAGGAAAAGCTATGAAAGCTGGAAAGCAGATGGACAAGTGGTAACAGAACTAGCAGACCTAAGAAAGCAGATAAATATGTTGTATCTAAGAAATAAGGACAGAAGGCTGTAAGTAAATACATACATAAATAAAAAGGAACATCTAAAGAATAAAAAAGGATTAAAAATATGAGGCCGTGCGGCTGACTCACACCTGTAATCTCAGCACTTTGGGAGGCCGAGGTGGGAGGACTGCTTGGGGCCAGGAGTTTAAGACCAGTCTCAGCAAGAGCGAAACCCCATCTCTATAAAAAATAGAAAAATTAGCTGGACATCATGGTGTGTGCCTGTAGTCCCAGCTACTCGGGAGGCTGAGGCAGGAGGACCACGAGCCCAGGACTTGGAGGTTACAGTGAGCTCTGATGATGCTACTGCACTCTAGCCAGGGTGACAGAGCAAGACACAGTCTCAAAAAAAAAAAAAAAGAAACTAAAAATATGGGCTGGGTGTGGTGGCTCATGCCTGTAGTCCTAGCATTTTGGGAGGCAGAGGCAGGAGGGTTGCTTGAGGCCAGGAGTTCCATACCAGCCTGAGCAACACAGTGAGATTCCATCTCTACAAAAAAACACAAAAATTAGCCAGGTGTGGTGGTTCGTGCCTTGTAGTCCCAGCTACTCGGGAGGCTGAGGCAGGAGGATTGCTTGAGCCCAAGAGTTGGAGGTTGCAGTGAGCTGTGATGACACCACCATACTCTAGCCTGGGCGACAGAGAGAGACTCTATCTTAAAAAAATAAAACAAAAGATTGAAAATATAACAGGAGAAATGAAAAACAATAGAAAGTCTGGAAGATGAGAAAACCTCAAAAAGCATAACAAAACTATGAAGATGTGGTTAAGTGGGAAGGAAGAGATTAAAAAAAAATCAAAGGCAGTCCTGGAGGTCCAACATACAAATGTCAGAATTTCAGGGGAAAAAAAAAAAAAAACAAAGGTAAGAAATCCAACAGAATTCAATAAAACTTCCAGAACTGAAGAATAGGAATTTCCAAATTGAAAGAGAACTACTGAGTGCCTAGCATATTGGTTGAAAAGATACATACCAAAGTATATTTATCATGAATTTTACAATTATGAAAAAAAGATCAAATAAGCTTCCAAAGAGACATAACTGGTCATATACAAAGAATGAAGAAGCAAAATGGCATCACACCTCACAACATAGTACAGAAGCCAGAAGACAATGAAGCAAGGCCTTCAAAATTCTGAGAAAAATCACTTGCTACCTAGAATGTTACACTCAGCCAAATTATCAATTTAGTGTTAAGAATAGAATAAAGACATTTTTAAACATGCAAGACATCATAAAAAAAAAAAAGTGCTCTTTCTTAGGAAGCTAGGATGAGCTTCACTAAAATGCAAATAAAACAAGAAAAAAGAAAACTCTAGAGAGAAACGAAAGGAAACCCCAGGATGATAGTAACGGAATATGCCAGGGTGACAGCTGTATACTAGTCATGGAGAACAATCAGGTTAGACTGGAGCAGGTGAGAACACTCAGTGAGGTTGTTTCCCCCCAAGGTGATAACATAATACCTGATAAATCTAAGCTTATTTAGAGGAGATTTAGAAGACCAGGAAAGACTAGGGTACAGTTAGTCGTAAGTATAAAGACCAAGCAAACAAAACCCAAGACAATTATTAATTCCCCAAAAAGGAAAATGTCACACAGCAAAGAACGGTGATTTGGTATACTAAAGGCTCATCTTTGAACACTGTTTATAAGCTTATAATGATGTAAACACTCAATAAGAGATTATAGGAATAAGAAGGGTGTGTATAAAAATCATAGAGGGATAGAGGTTGGTTCATTTTCCACGGTGAGAAGACAATAAAAAATAGGAGAGAGGTAAGGGACAATTTAAAGACTCACTTATTTTTTAAAAATATGAACCTATATCAAGTTTGACTTCAAAACAAAAACAACTTATGGGTTAAATAGTTCGATTATAAAGTCAGAAAAATATCAAACACTTACTTCAATACCATCAAATTCAAATTTTATAACAGGTACAAAGGCATCTTCTACAGCCTACGATGAGGAAAATAATTATTACACATAAGTATAATCCTTTCTCTATCTTCCCTAACTGCCAATAATGTGAATATCTTTGCTCCCAATTTGTATTTTAACTCAATAGAAAAAGATAAAATGTTCTTGGTCTTACATTCCAGATAAGTACTTCTACTTTGTGACCTGTGTTATTTAAGATATACAAAATGGCTACGATAGCAATTATCTTAGTATCCTCCTAAAAATATTTCTCATAAACTGGCCAGCAGAACTGCTATCATCTGGGTACTTATTATGTATTGGGTCTAAATTGGAAACTAATTATTTAGAAAGAGCACTGGTGTTACAAATTAAAAAATGAGACCTCATGACTAATCTATCAAAAATAGTAATAGTCAACATAGTTTGGATTGATTTAGTAGAAATGATGGCTTTCTGACACTTTCTTAATCCCCTAACCTAACAAATTCTTAACCTCCTTGTCTGAAAGCTTTCCCAGATTTCTATATTGAACTTGTGCCCAACATTTGATATGCACCAATCATTTATCAGATATCACAGTAAGTGGCTTATGTAAATTACCTCATTAATCCTTAGAAAAACCTTATAAAAAGATAATACCACATCTCTTTTACAGATGAGAAAACTGAGGCTCACAGAGTTAGGCAATTTGAGCATTGCCTAAGAGCTAATGCGTGGGTAGATTCTAGATGCAAATCCAGGTCTATATAACTATAAGGCCTATGCTCTTAATCATTATGTGTCCTTTTAACAAGATACAGTAACTTCTTAAGAGGTATTTCAATAATCTTAAGCCCTAGCTTTTACAGGTAGTTGTTACTGAACTAAGTTCAAAATATTAAATGTCAGAGGATACTTACTCTTAAGTTTCTAATGCCATCTTGATGTTTCAATTTTTCAAAAAAAGACTGAAAAAAATCAGATCTCTCCACGTGTCTTGGAGCTACACAAAGTGCATCAATGTCAGCTCCTACAAATAAAAGTATTTATTAAGAAGAGTATATTATGTATTTTATTTTTGTTAAAGTACATACAAACATGTACAGAAGTATGGAAAATGAGTATAACAAAATGTTAATGACTAGTTCTGAATAGTGAGATAATGGGAATTTTGTTCTCTTGTATTTTCTAATTATGAACAATAAGAGTTTGTTATTGAAAATTCTTTTCACTAGAACATAGAAAAGCAGTTACCTTTGGTGTGTACTCCAAGCCTATAGGATCCAAATGTGAAAATTTTACCACCAACAGTAGCCACAACAGAAGGTGGGAGATTCTAAAATAAAATTAAGCAAAAGACATTCAATTATTCAAATTATTTATCACAAAAATCACCTTAATGCCTATTGCCCTTTATTAAGCAAATGATATACAGCATATTTGTCAACGTTGTTAAGATGAGAATTTCAGGGCTCTTTTGTTTGCAACTTCAAGTAATGAGGGTGTTAAAGAGGGAAGACAAAATAAATTCATGTCTATTAAACATGCACACATCTTTACCTTAAGAAAAAGATCTTTTTAATTACTTGACCCTACTTGCCCCCTCCAACTGCCTATCTTTGGTCTCATCACTCTTGAGAGTCACCAAGGAACTCTTCTTAATTACAGAACTCACATGCTTTCAGCTTTCTACAACACGATACTTTTGTCCAATCTTATCTCCTCTCTAGTTTGTGTGACAGGTGTATTTAATTTCTTGATTCCAGCTCTGCAGAATCAGGGTCATTCTTGGTATGTTCTCCTTATGATAGCTAATATAACAACTTTAATTAATATTTCTTATATCACGCCACAATTAAAATGCTACTTTTCACCTCTCTTCAGAGCCAATTCCAAATGCCCATCAGTTATTTTCACTCAGACACATCCTGATCCACTTCAGTATCCATGCCTCAAACAAGCAAAAACGTCTTCCTACAATTAAAACCAGGTATCCCCTTCTGACTTCCCTATTTCCATTCTGCATTATCCTAACTGCCCAAACTTATATTCATTCTTACCCATTCTTAGCTTATATCCCTCACATTTGTTGCCCCTTCTCTATTCAACCTCCTGCATCTGCCATTGTCCCTGCCTCGAATGCCCATCCTCTCTAGGTATCTTAATACCATCCATTTTTCAAACTTCACATCAAGCTCCACCTCTCTGTGAAGCCTTCCCTGGTTATCCTCACTCCATAGCAAGCTCTTTTTCCTCTGTTCCTCGACCATTATAATCTTTAAATTCTTTTATACTACATTTATTGACCTTTTTTTGGTATGTAAGTCTCACCTCTTCAACCATATTTAAATTTCTCAAAGATGAGAACTGTGTCTACTACTTCTCTGAATTTCCTCATTATGCCCAGTCCAAGTTCCAAAGAATAATATCTGCTGATTAACTTGAATAAAAGTGTCTCTATACTAGGATATTGTTTTTACTTCCTCTGTTTAATGGATATTAATGTTTCAAGAATATTACAAATAATTTTAAAGCCAGAAAGTCAGTGAATTTACTGACTAGTAAATCAAAAGGATGGAGAAACCATGACCTTAAAAAACCTTTTAGTTTACCTTTTTGCTTTGAAAAGTATGATCCTTGCATGACTTACGAGAAAGTGATATGCTGAATCACAGTGCTAAATATTTTCGTTACGGCCACAATATTTAACTAAAATGATTTGATCTGGGGTTCTAGACTAATGAGGTTTAAATATCCCAATTGTGTGCAACATATTCAAGTGATCTTTCATCTAATTCAAATCCTTCAGATATTTTCCAAACTAAAATATACATAAATGAAAAAGAATTATAATTCACATAGAAAATGACCAATCACCTTACCTATTCAATGGAGATGTTAAAACTGATTTAATTTTTTCATAACTTGTAACTAGCATTTCAACAACCTCAACTATTGATAACTCTGCTGACAGTTCAGAAATGAGCCAGATAGCCTTTTGGCAGCAAACGTAAATAGCATAAAAACCATGTTAAACTCAATGACTGTAGTCTTAGTAGACTCATAACCTGAGTCAATTGTTTAAAAGAACCAATTCTACATATTTATCATAGGTACAGAAAGACATAATGAAATATGTAAAAGAAAGAATTCTAGGCAGGTGTTTATCTAAGTTCTAAACCCATGCAGATTAAGGGGCGGAAAGGGACTGTACAGCTAGACATGTGACAACTGTGAGATGTTAACTTTCAAATGATTGCTGTTAAGGCAGAGATGGGGAAACTATAAAAAACAGACAAAAAAACTTAAAATACAAGTTTAGGCCACTTAAGTGAAGGGGCAAATGTTATCATCCAGTTGAACATGCCCTACCTCATTCTAGTACAGCCAGTAAAATAATATTCATAGTGATAATTCTGAGGCAATTATGAAAATTGAATTATATTCAAAATACAGTTGGCCCTCCGTATCTGCAGGTTCCGCATCTACGGTTCCGCATCTACAGGTTCTGCATCTGCGGATTCAACCAACTGAGGATCAAAAATATCAGGAAAAAAAATTAAAAATAACAATAAAAAATAATGCAAATTAAAAAGCAATACAGTAAAAACTATTTACATAACATTTACATTGTATTAGGTATTATAAGTAATCTAGAGATGACTGAAAGTATACAGGAAGATGTGCATAGGTTATGTGCAAATATATACTACACTATTTTATATAAGGGACTTGAGCAGATCTTGGTATCCTTGGGGGTCATGGATCAATTCCCTGAGAATACCAAGGGAGGACTATACTATAAAAACCAGGAAAATGGACTCAATTTCAGAGGAAAAATAGTTAAGCTACAGGAGGGGGAAAAAGTTTCATAGTTTTAAGTTTGGGTTTGCAAACTCCTATTTTTCATGGGGCCAAAGAGGTATGCAAATAAGGGAATCCCATACAAGAAACACAGAAACTAATAAATGGCCATCATTCTGTCAGAGAGAACAGGGAGAGGTAGGGCCATGAGGCACTAAAGGGCAGGAGCCCAATCCCATTCAAGTCTCTTCTTACTATACACAAAGGCAGGCCCAGCATTGCCAGATACGATATTTTATTTTATAAGAAGTCTGAAACTGAGCTTTTTAAGTAAAATCTCTTGATATTTAAATTTTGAGGCTGGGTGCAGTGGCTCATGCCTGTAATCCTAGCACTTTGGGAGGCTGAGGCAGGAAGATCCCCTGAGGCCAGGACTTCAAGACCAGCATGACAACATAGTGAGACCCCGTCTCTACAAAAAAATAGAAAACTTAGCTGGGCGTGGTGGTGTGTGCCTGTAGTCCCAGCTACTTGGGAGACTGAGGCAGGATTGCTTGAACCCAGGAGTTTGAGGTCGCAGTGAGCTATGATGACACCACTGCACTGTAAATAGGGAAATAGAGAGAGACCCTGTTTCTAAATAAATAAATATTTAAAAATAAAAATCAACAAATTTTGGCCCACTACATACGGGTCAAATAAGACAATTATGTGGACTTGCAGCTATATATTGGCTACTTCTGGGGTAAATCCTCATCTAGTTAGAAATTCAACTGTTGACCAATTTATTCCCAAGTATATACCAGAGAGCCAAGTTTTAATGTCTTTCAGATAATTCTCAACTCCTGCATCTTACTACCAGGATGAATGACCAGGATATAATGAAACTGAGAATTCCATGTAGTTCAGTCTTACCTTACTCTCACTGACATCAGAAATCCATTCTTTTACTAAATTGTTCAATTTACCAAGAACAACCAATCTATAATAAAAAATAACATGCTTTAGATTAAAACAAAAAATCAAAAAGTATTAAAGCAATAAACATATAAGCAGTACCCTTTGTGTTGATGTTAGAGTAAAAGCATATTATACACGTCATAATGCTATCACATCTGTGGATTCACGGCACATCTCTTTGGTATTCTTAGATCTCTAAGAGTAACAAAGAGATGATAAATGTGATGACAGAATTTGGGTCTTTGAGCTATCTTAAAAATTCAAAAGCCTAACAAAAATCATAAATTTACATTCAATGAGGCTACAGATGCCAAGTGAACTGTCAACTTTCTTGGATTTATTATAGAATTAATTCAATGTGGCAACAGAGGCTAGAATTCTCTCATTGCCAATAATAGGTATTTGGATAAGTAAAATGAGTAAATTAATTATTGGTCAATTTCTGTGAAATATTACTTAATAAAAGCAGTTTCATATTATTAAAACAAACTTGCAATCAAGGGCATATACAAATCCACATTTAAAAAAGAAAAGCAGTCCAGACATTTCAAAGATAACATATGCAAAACTGAACTCCAGATCTGTCCAAACTTGCCTCTCCCTCAGTCTTCTCCAGATAATGGAACTCTATCCTTCAAGGTGCCAAGACCAAAAATCTTGGCATCATCCTTGACACCTTTCTCTCTCTCTCTCATATTCCTTAGTCATCAAATTCTAACAACCCCACCTTTAAATATATACCCAGAATTCTACTACTTATCACCCCTACAGTATTCCTCCAGGTTCCAGCCACCATCAATTCCCCCTGGGGCCACTATAATGGCTTGCTAACTAGTCACTCTGCTTCTGCCCTTGCATCTCTCTTCAGACTACTCTCAATAGAGCAGTCAGAGTGACTGTGTTAAAACACGAGTCAGATCATGTCAATCTTCTACTCAAAACCCTAATAGCTTCCCATTTCACTCACAGTAAACCAAAACCTTTACAATGCCTTATAGGGTCCTAAGTACCCTTGTCCTTCAAGCTCTTTCCTACCTCACTTTCTTTAATCCCATATTTTCCTGCTTACTTGCTCTGCTTCAGATACCCAGGATATCTTGCTATGCACTCCTCAAATACACCAGGTATACTCCCACCTCAGGCTTTCTGCCTAGAAGGCTCTTCCCTCAAATATACATATGGCTCCCTCTCTCATCTTCAAATGTTCACTTAAATGTGACTTTCTCAATGAGGCCTTCCATGAAAACCTCTACCTCTAGCTTTATTTTTCTCAACAGCACTTCTCATGTGTAACACTGTACTTATTTTACTTATTTGGATAATTGTTAATCTCTTTCTCTAACCCCCACCTATAATGTAAGCTCCAGGAAGGCCAACATTTATCTTCTTTTTGTCATTTCTGTACCCCTAAGCAGGGACATAGTAGGTACTCAATATGTTTGTGGAATTAATGATTAAACAATGTACCATAAAATATTTTACAGTTTTCAATTACATACCTGTGGTTCAATTCTTCCTCATCTTCAAACACTCCAAATGGTTTCATGGCGTCAATTAATTTCTGTGTGTAAATATGATCAATTTCTTTAGGACATGCCAAACTAATTGGAGAGGTAATTCCATAATGCTTTTGCTGACGCTGGCTGTCCAGCGCCGTGTTTCTGTTCAAGAAAAATGAACAGCAGAAAAAACTTAAAGTATCATACCATACTGATACACCGAATCTCCCAATTCACTCACATTAATTTAGCTACCTTAAAAGTTTACTTAGTGCTAACAGGAGGTGCACTTTTTTTTTAAAGGAAAAATGGGTATTTTTTGTTTATGTTTATGAAGGGCTATTCATAAGGCCTCTAGCTTTCATGGTTAAGATGTCTTTTCAAGCCAAAAGCAGCATGTGTTGGCATCAGGACAACTATACCAATATCACTCAGCTCAAATGCAAAGAGCCTGAATGGGATCTGTGCCAGGGCTACCTCCTCTATACCCTGCAGACTTAAGTACTATTCAGATTCTAGAATCTCTGAAAAGCAGTCAACCACTTGAAAGAAAGCTCTTAGTAAAAACAATGGGATTTCCCCCCAGAAAAGAAACAAAAACATCCCATTAGAAGGTCCTTGTGAAATAATCTGGCTTTTAAAAAGAAATCACAACTAGATTTGTCCTTGGGAAACCTATATTAACATCCTTTGCTTGAATCTGAGCTTACAGTCCTAACATGTTGTGACACTAGTTAATTGTTCTCTTCATTTTATACTGGTACGTATACCATTTTCACATAGATTAATTATCGAATTCTTTACATTAAATGGAAACCTTTTATAGGATACAATACAAGCCACCCTCCAAAGACCCTACCCATCAGGAAATTACAGTCTTGAAAAAAGTACAACAGAAGGTCAGAGATGTTGGGTTTACACAGACCAAGAATTTCAAAATAAATTTTGGAACTAGCAGGGGTTGGTAAAACTTTTTATGTTGCTATGAAAGTAAAGTAAAACATACATGCTAACCAACTAACCCTACCATCTATGCTCACCATGCTTTCATGAAGGGCCATTAGCACCAACAGCAAGAATATAATCTTAAATAAATTAGCCCTGTAAAAAATAACATAAACAATAGTGATTGTTCTTGGATTTTAACTGGTCAAAACACTGACTTAACACTAAAGGCATGCTCTTTAGCTAAAAATTTCACTACATAGGGAAAATCAAATGAAAGATAAAAATAGCCTATATACCTTCCAAAATGACTGTAAGAAACAAAAAGCAAACATCAATATCAATTACTTTAATTTCTCTTCAGTATTTACTTTGAACAAACAAAATTTCAATTAGTTATTTCCAGTTGTAATTTCTTTTTAAAGATTTGGCTTTTTACCTCTAAGAACGAGAGAGGTATTTTGGTATTGCATTTGTTGTGTGTGTCCTATATAGTAAATGTATAGGACAGACTGATTCTTTATATATGATTATTTAATTAATCACAATAATAACCCTAACGGGTAGGGACTGAATAAGTGCCATTTTAAAGATAAGTACCTCAAGTTCAAAGAGAGGAAGACACAATGAGATACCACCCTACCCCTATCAGAATGGCATTAAAAAGTCAAAAAACAAGAGATGTTAAGTGGATCTCTTGGATCTCAGAGAGAAAGGAATGCTTATAACCTGTTGGTGACACTGCAAATTAGTATAACCTCTAATACGGAAAACAGTATGAAAATTCCTCAAACAAATGTAGACCTACCATTCAATCCAGCAATCCTACTGCTGAGTATCTATCTAAAGGAAATAAAGTCATTTTATAAAAAAAAAAAGACACCTGCACTCAAATGTTAATCACAGCACAATTCACAATTGCAAAGATGTGGAATCAAGCTAAGTGCCCACCAACTTAGGAGTGGATAAAGAAACTGTGTTGTGTGTGTGTGTTGTGTGTGTATATATATACACACACAACACACCATGGAGTACTACTCAGCCATAAAAAGCAATGAAATAATGTCATGTGCAGCAACATGGATGGAACTGGAGACCATTATCTTAAGTGAAGTATCTCAGGAATGGAAAATCAAACACCGTATGTCCTCACTAATAAGTGGGAGCTAACAGATAGGTATACACAGGTACAAAGCAACAGAAGAAACCAAGAAGGGGGAGGGTGGGGGTGTGTGTGTGTGATAAAAACTCACGTATTGGGAACAATGAACACTATTCTGGTGACTGGCACACCAAAAGCCCTGACTTAAGCATTATACATGGTATCCATGTAACAAAAACACTTGTACCCCCTTAATTAATATTTTGAAGTAAAAAAATTTAAAAATGGTTCCTCCACCAAAAAAAATGAGAGGAAAAACCAGAATCTGAACCCCAAAACCTCTTTGCACCATTCCATTCTCCCCTCCGTAACTACTTCAGTTCTGACACTAATCTTAGGTCTTACTTTCTTATCTGTATGTCCAAAAAGTTGGCTATCTAGGTGCCTACTGGCCCTAAAATTCCAAATCTAGGGTTCTGAACTTCCCTCCTCTAGATTGCGGGAGAGGAGGAAAAAACAACAGAATCCCACATTCCTTTCAACCCATCAATTTCTCTTATAGGCAAACATCCTAGGGAAATTCTAGTTAAAAGTGTACGAGGAGACACATAAAAAAGTGTTCACTGCCATACTGTAACATTAAAAACTTAGAACCTAAACTAGTCACTAACAGGAAAAAGATTAAACTAGGGTGCATCCCTACAATGGAATTAATATGAATTAATTAGAACTGAAAGAAAATATCAACATAAACAAAGCTCAAAGACACCATGTTTGCTCTAAAGAAGCTGCAGAATGACAGTATGATATTAGTCATATAAAGTTTAAAAACAAGTAAAACAATGTGAGTTATTATGGACACATGCATACGTAGTAATAGCATTAAAACAAAAAACACGCAGCAACAATAAACATCAAATTCAGGACTGTGGGGCCCTCAGGGGAGGGAGATGAATGGGACCAGAGAAGGAGGTAGGAGAGTCCTTCAGATGTATTTGGAATGCTTCTTTTAAATAAATGCACACATATATATACACACACACCCCATACACACACACACACGCACACATATATAATGTTATGCTTTGGCAGAAATGGGTGGTGGCTACACAAATGAAGCTTATGCTATTCTCTGCATTTTTCTGAATGTTTAAATTACTTCCTAATAAACCAAAATGTAAGGAGCTACAACAAAATCTTGCCAAACATGGAAACTGTTTCTGACTTATCAAAGTGGGAGCAGGAGGTCCAGACCAGTGGATATTGTGGGTAGGTGGGGAGGCAGGGGGTAGTGGGGAGGGTGGGCACAGCGGCGAAAAGACCCTAGCCTTTATTAAAAAGAAACCCATGGGCTGGGATAGGTCTTTAACTCCTGAAGACCTGAAGAAAGCCGGTCGGGAAGGGAGGAGGGGGAGGTAGGGGGATGGTATTTGCGCCAATGCAGACAGGAGCAGACGGGCTCAGACAGTGCTGGGGGCAGGCGAGTGACCGACAATTTCTCCCTACCGACACCCACGCCTCTCTCCCTCCTCATCCTTGTCTGGGGGCGTCCTCGGAGGCGGGACAGCCGGGGGCAGATGGGGACTCCAGGAGTCCCCAAGTCCGTACAGGGGCGGCCAGGTGAGCCGCCGAGTGTAGGGGAGGTGCCCTTGCAGACCGGACGGGAGCGGGGAAGGAGATCACTAGGGCGAGCTGTGGGCAGGGTGCAAGGGGCAGGGAATAGAAACTGGGCCCCAGGCTGGCCACCTCAGCTCACCCCTATCTGCCTCGCCCCCAACCGCCGCCCCCCACCACTTACGCAGACATCTCTTTCATCGCTTCCTGCGTCTCCCTCTCCAGCGAGTGTCTTTCGCTCTGGAGTCCTGTTGTTGCCGCTCCCTTCTCCCTGTCCACTTTCCTCAGGTCGCTTGTAGCTCGCCTGCTAGGTCACTTTCTCACTACCGCCGAGGCATCCAACCGAGTAGTGAAAACACCACAAAACCGGCTCTATTTATGACAATACAGCGCGGCCGACGCCAATATGGCGCCGCTTCCCAGCCTGCCTCTCGCTCGCTGCAGCCCCGCCTCTGCCGGCCAGACCCACCCTCGGCCACGCCTCTCCGCCTTCAGGTCGCAGGAGGCTCCGCGGCCCCGCCCACAGGGGTGTGGGCTCTCACTGCAGACGCCGGCCGAAGGAGCGTGTGGTCACCTCCTTTGTCCACGGGACTGTCAATCCAGGCAAACCACTTGAAAGGTAATTTGGAAATACGTTTTCCTTAGTTCTCGAATGAGAGCATATATTATAAATATTTTATTTTTTTATTTTTTTTCCTTTTGCCGTGTCTCGGATTCATATATTTTTAAAAAGATCACAGCCTTACCTAGCAAATACTATTTTGACTCCTGCATTATCCTACGTCTTTGATTTCATTAATCATAGCCGTACGTAACCTAATCAATCCACCCGTTGAGGAGATTTTGTCTCGAAAGGGTCACACGCGGGAACGTGCAACTTTAACACAATTATCCCAGGGAAAAGCAAGCTTGTAAATTGGAGGCTAATTGTTCACTTCACCCCTAAGTACCACCCCTAATTCATGACATTCAGAGATTTACCTGAGAGTGGTTCAAAGTGATCGTTAGCCGTTTGCAATAGGATAAATCTAAGGCTCAATCCGAATCTTCTCACACTTTCAAATAAATAGTGGAGATCATGTTCCATGTAAGTGTGAGGATGAAAATGGGAAAATAATGACCAATTTTAATATGTTAAAGGGTAGAAGTAATTTCAAACACTAAATTATTACAAAGAAAAGGATGTAAAAAAGCTACTTGCTCTTGGAATGTGACTCAGAGTCACAGTAAATTAGAGAGATTACTTACTGAATTATTCATTCAAAATATTTATTGAAAACTGTGCCAGGCACTGTTAGGCTCCAGTGATTTAATGGTGCATAAAGCTAGATGTATTCTTTGATCTTATAAAGTTCAAAGTTTAGTGGGGGAAACAGTCAAATATAAGTGGTATTCTTCTGTTGTTGAACTAAAGCACTTACTATGTGTCAGGCACTGGAGATACTTAATTCCTGCACTCAAGAGTTTACTGTTGGCCAGGTGGTGGCTCATGCCTGTAATCCTAGCACTCTGGGAGGCTGAGGCAGGTGGATCCTTTGAGCCCAGGAGTTCGAGACCAGCCTGAGCAAGAGCGAGACCTCTGTCTCTACTAAAGAAAGGAAGAAAATTAGCTGGACAACTAATTTTTTTTATAAAAAAAAAAGAGTTTGCTGTCTAATGGAGAGAACATATACATAGATTGTTAAAATACAGTATGGTCTGTGATACAGATGGGGTCAAAGTATGAAGGGAGGCCTAAAGAGGGCCACATAAACTTGGTGGTGGGAGCCCTCAATAGTGACTTCCTAGAAGAGGGGATGTTGCCTAAATTAGCAAGATTTGGGAGTAGTGATTGAGTGCAGGTGGTGAAAGAAGTCAAAATCTATTCCAGATGGCATAAAGTAGCAGATAGCATGGGCTTCACTGCAAGGTAGACCCAATTTTGACTTCTAGTTTTTCTACTTACTAGTTTTGTGACCGCAGGACAATTAACTTTAAAAAAACATTTTTTGGCTGGAGGTGGTGGCTGCCAACAATCCCAGCTCTTTGGGAGGCCGAGGCCAGAGGATCACTTGAGCCCAGGAGTAGGAGACCAGCCTGGGCAACATAGCGAGACACCATCTCTACAAAAAAAATACAAAAATTAGTAGGACATGGTGGCATATGCCTGTAGTCCCAGCTACTCAGGAGTCTGAGGCAGGAGGATCACTTGAGCTCAGGAGTTTGAGAGTTTGAGGTTATAGTGAGGTGTGCTCGTGCCACTGCACTCTAGCCTGGGTGACAGAGTGAGACCCTGTCTCAAAAAAAAAAAAAAATTCAGACATGCACTTCATTTTCAAAAACTTAATTTTTTACTCTAATCACTTCATTCTGAGATAGCAGAAGAAGACAATCTTGGTTGTCCTGCAGTCCCTATCCCCCCCAGTCTTGGGATGGTGTCAAGGTACTGCGGGTGGTAGGGCAGATTGTGTATATCTAGTTCTGGGCCACCTTCCCATCCTCTTGGCATCTGGACCTGGACGGTCTGTGCTGCCTGCAGGTCATATGTGGGGCTCATGGTAAGGGCCTGTGGTCTTCTCAGCCCAGATGCACCACAGAGCTAGTTCTTCCCACCTCTCCCCCCAACAGCTTAGGAAATCATGCTAGTCTGGGAGACAGAAAGCCTCCTTTCCTCAAGATTTCTAACCAACATGTTTGTTGCTAACTGCATAGAGTTCTCTTCAGGGCTTAGCCTTGTTTCAAATACAAAAGAAATACTTGCAGGCTGATTCTGCTATCTGCACAGTATAGAGCACTTAGCACAGTGCCAGGCACATAAGGGCTCAATAAATTTAATTCTTATTTACATTGATTACCATAACTCTTATCTCTGAATTTTTTTCTCTTTATTTATTTTTGAAATATTTTTTTCATTGCTCCCTTTCTTTTTTGCTCTTATTTTACCTGTGTAGAATGCTTTCTTTGCTATTATCTGCTTCAGTAATTTGGAAGGAAGGTCAATTCTTCTTTTAATTCTACTAGTTCAGTGAAATCATAAAGTGTTTCAAAGACAGCTTCAAGTTTATACCTAATTATCAAAGTCAATATCAGAACAATACTTTTTAATTCCCCTTTATGTAATTTGTAGTTTGGCACTGTTTTAATTGCTTTTCTTCTCATTTTTCTGTCTTTGTTAATCTACCTGGGATTGAATGCCAATCCCCCACCTTCATTTCAACAAGGACATTTTTCTTTTTTTGCAGTGTACATTGTAGCTGTATTTGTTAAGTTAAAATTTTTAAAATTGCAAAAGTAACTGATGCTTACAAAAAAAAAAGAATAGACATCTGTCCCTCCCTTTCATCCCTCACTCCAGCTTTATTTCCCAGGGGAACCATTACTATCATTCCAGAATGTTTTCAATATACTCCAAACCACATATAAACATGTACCATAGGCTTTGTTTTTATGATTTTTTAAAATTTTGAATAACAGGGATCATACTATACATGTTCTACTCCTTGATTTTTTTTTATAACTCAAAATTATGGACATCTTTCCATGTCAGTAAATGTTATGGGCTGAATTGTGTTCCCCCAAATTTCCTGTTTTGAAGTTCTAACCTACAATTATTCAGAATGTGATTGCATTTGGAGATAGAGTCTTTAATGAGGTGATTGAGGTAAAATGAAGTCATTAGTGTGGGTCCTACTACATTATGAAGAAGAGGAAATTTGGGAACATGAATAGAGAGGGAAAACCATGTGAAGGAACAAGGAACAGATGGTCATCTACAAGCCAAGGAGAGAGGCCTCAGAAGAAACCAACCCTGCTGACACCTTGTCTTGGATGTTTAGCCTTCAGAATTATGAGAAAAGAAACTTCTGTTGTTTAAGCCACCCAAAGTGGTACTTTGTTATGGCAGACTTAGCAAACTAATACAATAAATATATACCTACTTTGTTCTTTGTGACACTAACATTGTATTCTTTGTCATAGATAACGTATAATATGTTGTTATATTAAACCATAGCCTTATTGTCTCAAATGTGTTTATGTTATAAATAATGTTGTTTATATTATAAATAGTGTTTATATTATAAATAGTGCAATGTACACCTATCTGGGGGATGGGTACATTTATAATTTTGACTCAAATGGTACAAAAGCAATTTATGTAACGAAAACGTTTGTAGCCCCATAATATTCTGAAATTAAAAAAAATACAAATAGCTAAGAGGCATATGAAAAAATGTCAACATCACTAATCATCAGGGAAATGAAAATCAAAACCACAATGAGGTATCATCTCATCCCAGTTAAAATGGCTATTGTCAAAAAGATAAAAAATAACAGATGCTAGCAAGACTGTGGAGAAAGGAAAATGCTAGTACACTGTTGGTAGGAATGTAAATTAGTACAGTCACTATGGAGAGCAGTATGGAGGTTACTGAAAAAACTAAAAATTGATATCCGTACGATCCAGCAATCCCCACTGCTGGATATATTATCCAAAAGAAAGGAAATCATTATATTAAAGAGATATCTGCACACTCATGTTTATTGTATCACTTTTCACAACAGCCAAGATATGGAATCAATCTAAGTATCTGTCAGCAAATGAATGGCTAAAGAAAATGTATATATACACAATGAAATACTACTTAGCCATTAAAAAGAATGAAATCGTGTCATCTGCAGCAACATAAATGGAACTGGAGGTCATTAAAATAAGCCAGGCAGAGAAAGAAAAATACTGCAGGTTCTCACTCACATGTGTGAGCCCCAAAAAGTTCATCTCACAGAGGGAGAAAGTGGAATGATAGTTAACAGAAACTAAGAAGTATGGGGAGGGTGGGGATAAAGATTGGTTGGGTAATGGGTACAGAAATACAGTTAAATGGAAGTGCTCCATAGTACAGCAGGGTGACTATAGTTAACCATAATTTATTGCCTCTTTCAAAATGGCTAGAAGAGATTTGAAATGTTCCCAACATAAATGATAAATGTTTGAGGTGATAAATATCCTAATTGTGCTGATTTGATCATTACATTGTATGTGTGTATCAAAATATCGCATGTATCCTATAAATATATATATCTTATGTATCAATAAAAAAGTAAAAAACTAAAAAAATTTTTTAAATGCTATAAACATCCTTATACATATATCTTTTGTACTTGTGTCGCTAGTCATTGAATAGATTCTTTTTTTTTTTTTTTTTCTGAGACAAGGTCTCACTCTGCTGCCCCGGCTAGGGTGCAGTGGTGGTGTCATCACAGCTCACAGCTCATTGCAACCTCAAACTCCTGAGCTCAAATGATCCTCCATCCTTAGCC